ATAGTTCAGTCCTAGTATAATATTAAGCCTTTGTAGAGCATGATGTCATTATTCATCTGATCACCTGCTTGGTGAATCAAATCATCCATCTGCTGGGGTGACCTCATTAAAAACTTAGCCTAATGCAAACATGCATTTCGAGGATTCAATGCAAACCAAGTTCTCAATAACATGTCTAATATTTCAATACCAACTTGATATATCATGTTGAAATCACTAATGAAGTGAAAAATGAACTACTAGATTTTCTTCTAAATGCATTGAGAGAGAGAGAGAGAGAGAGAGAGAGAGAGATTGCTTGAATTTTCAGGCAGGGATAGCATACTAAGAACAAATACCCAAACTAATGAATTAGTTTTGGAATTCAAGAGGAAGAGTTTCCTCGGCTTGGCATCCAAAAAAAAATAAAATAAAACACTCTTCCACCAAAGCTGCAAGGTGGAGAGATAAAGAGTATAAAAGACACAATATAAACCCAAACCATCTTCACAAAATCACGCTAATGTAGCTGAAAATTTTTACAGCAAAACTCACCACAATCCTATCCCCAAATCCAATGACACGACACAAATCCACAGCTTGGCGATGCCTAGCAATTGCAACAGCGTACTCAACCAGATGTGTATTCAAATTATAACTGAAATGCAAACTGCCCATTTATTCACGCACAATACCAACAGATGAACCGAATTTTAATTTTATAAATGGAAACATATAGGAACGCACAAAGTTAGTGGAAGTTACCTTATTGTGCCTTCAACATAAACAACTGAACTGATATGCCTTAATCTACAACATAAGTAAACAATACTGGAAATGAAATAATTAGTAGTATTGGCCATCTTTGCCACACCTATACTATTGCACAACTCAAATATCAAAGCTAAATGAATAATGAATAAAAATCTCACCACATATTCCAAAAGAACAATAAAAATAACAAAAGAACCAACCATCAAATGTCTTTAAATATTCTGTTAAATGAAAAGACTGGAATTATCAATTTATAGTTCTCCAAGAGCCTGAACTTCACCTCGTTCGAGTTTACTAATTAGGAAACAAAATATACAATCACACACCACAATGGTTCTGTTAAACGGGCTTAAAATAAATGGAAAATCCCGTTCATATTCCCTAACATCTTGCGTATTTATATACTCCTATTTGTCTTTTTGGTTCTCATTTCCAAGGAATCAGAAAAAAGAAAATTTGAAGCAAAATAAGATAACTATTAGTGACTCCAAAACTGCTGAGAATAACCTTCACATGTACAAAAATGACACATCCTAAGCATGATAAAACAAAATCAAATGTATTCCCACCAGTTTGAGGACCAACAAAGATATCAAATCTAGGAAAAAAAAAAGAAAAAAGAAAGCCTTACTGGAGCAAATGAAATTGCAAGCCACCTAATGATATTTGGTACGGTAGCAATCATCAAAAACTGCATTTTGACAGAATACTATTAGTCATTTCTAGAAACATTAGCCTTACTAAAAACTTTTAAATAAGAAAGCAAGAATGATACGTACCCCTTTTCTCCCAATGTAATCTGTAATGTGGCAACTACATATTGCCCCAACCGTTGCACTAGCATTTGGTAGCGAACAAAATACAGAGAACTGCCATCAAAATTTTAGGAGGTTAGTGACACTTTGCAAAAGTGATATATATTCACATAATAACAACAAAAGACTAATTAACCACCATTCAAACACACCAGATGCTCTTCTATAAATGAAGCATATAAACAAAGTGCCAGATTTAAGAAAAAAAATTAAGAGTTTCGTGTATAACATATTAAGAAATAGATGAGGTATTGACAAAGAATATCATGAGCAAGTTCTAGGAATTTCTGCCTGAATCAAAATATATAAACGAACAAAACAATACTTTGCAAAGAAAAATAAATAAATAAACAAACAAAAATCATTATAATAAGTAAGCATAATCAGTATATTGCAATATTGTGCATAGCCCTAATATTCAAAACTAATTTTATTCCCTTTGCGGATCTATCGTTCTGAGAATTCGAAAGTTTCTCCCGATCACCATGACCCGTAATGACCACTTCCACTGCAAATTAAGTAGAAAACAACAACTTCAATTGGAAAAAAAAATAATAATAATTAGATCATCCAAAAAGGAATAATATCTTATGATGGATGGTAGGGAATTGAAAACGGAAACAGAGGAAGAGAGTGGTGTCGGAGCAATTTTGAATCTAATGTACAACAGCGACAAAAGAGTTGCAGTGGCCGGAGGAAAAAATGGAGTAGCAGCGGCGGAGGAATAAAGGTAAAAAGTAAATATTTTTCTTCCTCATCCGAATAATTTGATTTTTGATATTCCTAATTATACGGAAGATATAGTAGGGAATTAATGTGATCCCCACGAAAAATATGGTAGAGAATGAATGTGTTTTTGACTCCTTAAGTCTCCTTTTTTTTGATAATCTAGAGTGTTATGCGTCAGTTTTTATTTTGTATTAAAAAAGACTTAGACGAAAAACATGTTTTTCTTGTACGTTGTTTTAATTATTAAGTACAATAGATTGGCCAGCACAAACCTTACTTTGCGCTTCTATTATGGTTAAAGTAGGCCCTATTTACAGGTCTCGGCGTTACGCCATTGGCCAGTCAATTTCTCAATAGTGATTTGGAACATGTTGAACAGAACTATTACAGCTTTGGAAACAGAAGATAGTAAGTCAAAAATTCATTAGATATGGGGATACTACATGTGAAAGAGAGTGTCTAAGTGGGCATGTAATGTTAACATGATTCAAGTGAAGATCTTTCTTCCAAGTGTGATTAATTCAACTCAAATTAGGATTAGTCTAGATAATGATTTTAGGACTTCAGTTCATGATATACCACAAAAAAAGTTGAACTAGTAATTTCATATGGTTTCTCAGCCGCTGGAGTTATAAATTTCATGAAATAGATGTGAAATTCGTAAATAAAAGTATAAAACTAACCAGACTAGCCACCATTTTTCGAAAGCACATGTAAAAAATAAGTAGCTAAATATCTCTCTACATGTATTAAAAAAAAACGTGTTCCTCTGATCTCACCTTCATTTATACTGAATTCATTTCCAAAGCTGTAAAGAAAGATTGTGCTAACAATAAGAGAGGTCCTAAGAAGAGATAGACGTGCAGCTCATAAAAATTGATTCAAGGAGCTGTGTTAGTATTCAAGCAAATAAGATACGTTTAGTACAAATTTAAAAACTCAATGTGGATTTTTTTTTTGGGACGGATGTAGTATTTTTTTCTTTCTATAGTAATCCATTCTTCTCATGTTTATTGTACCGTTTTAATTTGCAAATAAGATTCTTACATTAAACATGGAGTTAATTAAATTTATTTAAAACCAGGGTTATTCTTTCATCTAACATCTCCCTGTATATGTCCTTGCAGCCAAGATGGGCTTACAAAAGACAAAACTAGCTAGAGTGTCACTTGCGATGTCGTCTTTTTTAAACCGAAAGAGGTAAAATTTGACCAAACTACGTTAAAAAATTTTTAGGGTAAAAAATCTCTATAAAATCGCGTTCCAATCACATATGAATTACGATTGAAAAATGATGTAGCCAGAGCAAACCATCAGATCCATGTGCATGTTAGATAATCTGTTAGGAAATTCACTTCTCGCCATACATGATATGGACGAACTCAATTACAACAACATTAAAAAAAATAAAATAACACGGATTAATTATTATTACCGATAATATATATATAGTGTAATATGTTAAAAAGAATAAAAGAACACAAGGCAGATTATTATCGCCAAACTGAACCTATATATGATGTTTGTTTTTATTTGATTAAATTAAAAGAATAAATTATCTACCTTCCTTGATTTGATTGAATCATCGGATCTGCACATTAGTGCCACTCTTTCCCAATCACAATGGCCTGTGCAAATCAATAGAGATATACCATGATGTAGTAGTATCTCATTGGAAAAGCTGAAAATGAAAAAATAAGAAGAAAAAAAAAATAATAACAAGTGGTATAGTTATAAACACCTTGTCTCGAGGAAAGAAGGAAATAATTGCAGCCATTGGCACAAGAGCTTAATAATGCCTTGTAACTGAAAGGCCAACAAGGTAAACGGCTGGTGTCGCCATCTGCCCCCTTAGCTGCTGCAATATGACTTTGTCACTTTCAAATATTCATACCCAACTTGGCATTTAAGTTGATATCTTCATCCACAATCAACAGATTTCATAGTTTTGCATATGATGCACACATGAGTGATTTTATGTATGGATACCTTACTGTCGATATTAGTGATTACACTTTCATTAGTAACAATAGATAGATAATGGACTAGGAAAAATTAATTTTGATGTTAAGATGAAAGAGTTTCTTTCTATACAACCACGACTCTTTTAATTCATAATCCATATATTTAGTTTGTAGCACATCCGTAGCTATAAGGAAAAATTAATTTATTATCACTTTTTCCTAAATCATATTATCTCTCTTTATTCCTTCATTCCGAAATCTAATATAATAGCATAAGAATTATTTACGTAGTCTTATGTATCATTCAGAAAAGGTACTTTTTTGGGGTAAAATAAGAAAGGTACATTGAAAGTTGAAATTAACTAATTACATTGTGAAAAATGAAATGTATACTAGTAGTATCTAAGTACGAATGCAAGCAAATAAATAAATAGATACACTATTCTTGGTCATCGTAATGAGAACGGTTTGGAATCATTCTAGAACTAATGAAACCTTTCCTACATGTAAGGAGAGAGATTAATTTTATTAATTAGCAGTATTCCTTTTTTTTTTTTTTGGGGGGTTACACCACTATACTAATTTTAATTAGGTAAGTGACATCATTATGCAAATCACCCCTTCTTCTTAATTAAATGGTTGTGTATATAAGGTGGATTAGAGGTAGTCCAAACTTCAAGTGAGAGCCAAATAACCAAAATCCAAAAGGGCTCTTAAGATTTGATCAAACCCCAAAAAAATGGCTGTCATCCCTTTCCACAAAATTGAAGGTGATCATCATCATCATCATCATAATAATCATCACAACCCTCCATCAAAATCAGCGAAATTCGTAGCTCTCATTTGTGGAGTTACAGGGATTGTAGGAAGGGAGCTTGCCAGAAACCTTCTTTCCTCAAAATCCACTCACTGGAAAGTTTATGGCATAGCTCGAGCTTCACATTCACAATCCCAAATCAAAGAAACCATCAAGAACCACTCAAACTTCCATTACATTTCCTGTAATCTCCAAAACCCATCCGAAACTCAACAGAAGCTGTCCTGTTTAACTGATGTTACCCATGTCTTTTGGGTAACTTGGGCAAGCCAGTTCCCTCTTGATACTCCAGAGTGTTGCGAGGAAAATAAGGTTATGATGTCCAATGTTTTGAATGCTGTTTTGCCGCAGGCAAAAGGGCTAAAGCATTTTTCTCTGCAAACAGGGACAAAGCATTATATCTCATTCGATGAACCGTTGATTAACTCATCTGGGCAAATTCAGTTGTACGATGAGCAATGTCCCCGGGTCGGAAAAGGGTTTAATTTCTATTATGTCCTGGAGGATTTGCTGAAGGAGAGATTAGAAGGGAAGATTCCGTGGTCGATTCACAGGCCTGGATTGATCATGGGTTGCTCGAACAGGACTCTGTACAATTTCATTGGTACAGTTTCTGTTTATGGCACAATCTGTAAGAAATTGAAGCTTCCATTTTTGTTTGGTGGGACAAAAGAATGTTGGGAGGAGGTTTACATTGATGCTTCTGATGTAAGATTGGTTGCAGAACAGCACATTTGGGCAGCTACAGAGGAAACTGTGCAATGTTCTTCTCATGGTCAAGCTTTCAATTCGATTAATGGGTCGGATTTCACTTGGAAGGAGATTTGGCCAGCAATTGGGCTGAAATTTGGCAACTCTGATCATGATGCGTTTTTGTGTCAAGATTTCTCTTTTACCGCATCTATGGCGGATAAGGGACAACTTTGGAGAGAAATTGTGGAGGAAGAAGGGTTGGTCCAAACAGAGATGGATGATTTGGCAAATTGGGAGTTTCTGGATATATTGTTTCGATTCCCAATAAAAATGCTTGGAAGCCGTAAGAAAGCTGATGGATTTGGATTCACCATGAAGTTCCAAACGTTGGATTCAATACTGTATTGGATCGACATCATGAGACATGAGAAGCTAATCCCATGATTCTCATTTTCCTTCCCCCCTTTTTTTTTGGCTTAGGATTATGAAAAATATAATTACTCATTCTATTTCAAAATGACGTGTTACAATAAGCGGAATAATCATTTTGGGACGGAATGATTTAGGTTTCTTTTCCAGTATTTTTGGGGTTTGGAAAAAGAGTTTGACGTGGTGGTGGTGTAGATTTGCAGTTTGATCTTCGTGTACTGGGCTCCAATGCAAGTTGTAATAATAATTGATGTAAATAATTGTGTAGATTATTTTTGAAAATATTGGGGTTACTGCCAGCTCTATTAATTAGTGCTTCCTTGATTTACTGATCTGGTCTCTCCCAAAACTCGAGTTCCCAACAAACAGTTGAACGGAATAGTCAACTCTGCGACCAGATTTTTTGGCGCCCCTCCCTAAGCGGCCAAACGGCCAAAAGGAAGGTTACAAGAAGTTGCAACATAAACAAGCTGAAAAAAAGAAATAAATTTGAAAACTGGGAAGGTATCATTATAAGAATCGAAACCGATTAGAGGTTACTTCTGTGTTTGATTGTTAGGGGAAGATCATGTAAACTTGTGAGTGATTTTTATAAGGGATTCGTAGTTATTTTGGAGATGAATGAGATTATTTACAGAGAAACAAATCTTGTTCCGCTTTATTATGGATTTAATTTTCCGTGAATGAGAGAAATAGAGAAGATAAAGATAAGGTAAGACGTAAGAATGAAACTGTCTTCTCACAAAGCAATAAAATTTTATTTTAACCCAAAAAGAAAAGCAATAACATTCTATCATCCGTACATTGTGCAATCGTGCACTAGAAATGGAGATGTCAGGAAAAAAGTTGTATATTATTACTCTTTCCATGATCCCATCCATACTGTGGCTGGTCCAAACCATTTTTACCGAACTTTTCTAACTATATGTCGGTATTGGTTTGGATAACGGGTGGGTAATATACTAAAAGAATGTTACAGTTTTGCATTAATACTAACTTCTTCTTTTTTTTAATGGTGTAGCTCTCCATAATCTGTATCCTTGAGCAAAACTATAAGCAATGTGCTTCAAAAAGTAAAATAACCTCTTCTTCCGTCTCAAACACAAATATTACGATTATTTTAAGACGGAGAATAGTACCGGTTCTAGTTTTCATTTTAGTATCAAGTTGATACATCTTCACTCTGCTCTTCTTGCTTCACAGTCAGAATCAACTTAGAAAGATATATTCCACTACCCCAGTAATCGCTTCATCTTCTTTGGTAATTGAGAAGTTTGAGTGAGAATGCATAGACCCCAAAGAACAAAATGCTAAATCCCAACAGTGCACCAATTGAGGCACCCGTCATTCCAGGGCCATATCCTAGATTAACTTCAATGTACTTTTTGACGGAGCCTTCAAATCCAGGACCGACAATCGTTGTTTCGACATCTCCAAGCTGCGAGGTGATGATGCCTCGCAGTGTCCATGCTATTGGGCAGATGTAATAGAACCATATCCACCACCCAGGGATGCTCTGCCAACAATCATCAGATATATAGTCGAATCATTATCGAAAATGTAGAGATAATCACAATAGCTCGAATGTTGAGATTGCATTCTCGCTGATACAATGAGTTACTTACCGGTTGAGGCACTAAAAATCCAGAGAGGAGATTCCATAAGGAGTAAAATGCAGAAGACACGACTGCAGCTAATTGCTGATTAGCTGTGAGACCAACAGCCATCATTCCATAATAGGTGAAGTACATGAATGTCAGGAACATGAACACTAGATAGAGGAAAAATTTGGCTGCATTCAGAAATTAAACGAAGTAAGAAATCTATGATTATCTATCTTTGCTTAAGTGGACAACATTGATAAAGACTTAACACACAACTACACAACAACAGCATTCATGATACGATTACGAAAGAGAATTACCAGCTGTTCTTTCAAAGCCGATCATAAAGTATGTAATGACGCCGTATATCACCGTCTGCAACACAACATATGGGATCTCCACAAGGCCCTGCGTGGAAGAAATGGAGGAAACTTAGTCTGAAACATTCATTGAACTTCAAAAACATGGCCAATGTATATAATTCAGGCAATCACAAATCCACAACCCCCCTTGCCAATTAAAGCTCTACCTGTGCAAAAGCATAAGGCAGTGCAGCATACATTCCAGCAGCTCTCTCTCTGTAGAATACTGTTCTTTCAGTTGAAATTACTGGCTGTACAGAAGAAGAGTTATTCACACCAAGAAACATGGCTGCAGAATATAAGGCTCCCATTACCACAAACACGCTTTGCATTGAGTCCCTGTGGGAACATTCAAAGTTTATCAATTAGTCAGTACATTTAGAAAATCAGACAAGCTGATTCACCAAAAGTTGGAGCCATAAGAAAATTACCTTTTTGAGCCACGGTCCCAAAATATTGTCCCAATTATAATAGCACTCATAGTAGTGAAAAATATTCTCACAGCATTGTAGGTAGGACTTCTCCAATAGACAATATTTTGCTTCCACAAGCACATTTTGAACTGAGAGAATGCATCTTGAGAGAATGTGGAGTCAAACTTTAATGGTTCTGACCCCTCAGCTGGAACACTTGCTTGTTGAATGGAAGCTTCCACTTCCCTGCATTGAAATGTTTAATTTAAAGAAAGCAAAATTTCCAAGCTAGAAGATATTGTGGAACCAACAAAATAATCACCTAAATTGGTTGGAGTTCTCATATGTTGTTGCAAAGTCTCTGCCGGTTCTTTCTTCGGCAGCAGGTGTACTTACTTCAAGCATCCAAGTAGCTGGATTATATCCACTCGGAATTGGAGGAATACCAGGGATGCTCTGCATTGGGCAGTGAAATATCCTTTAAAGTTTGTAAATGAGAACATGGATTCATTTCGTTGTGATTTGTCATCCCAAAAATCACTAGATTTTCGCTTATTGGGCGCCTACAGTTTTCAATCCCAAACAAATAAAGATTTTCGTGGTGGAGGTATTACACTCACCTGAAAGTAGTTGATCATTGTTTGTGATTTCTCCCCAAGCTTTCCCCCATAAATTACTCGTCCTCCTCGTTTCAAAAGCAGTAGCTGCAAGTTCCAACATAATGTAAAACATACCATTTTGGTGCAAACAACTGTCTAGCAACAATAGTAAAATTGACAATAGACAAACCTCGTCGAATGCTTCAAAAATTTCAATACTTGGTTGGTGGATAGTGCAAACTACTGTTCTTCCGGTGTCTACAGTATTGCGCACAGTTCGCATCACAATTGCAGCTGCTCGAGCATCAAGGCCAGAGGTAGGTTCGTCCATGAAAATGATTGAAGGATTTGCAACAAGCTCCACCGCAATTGTTAAACGCTTTCTCTGTTCTGTGGAAAGGCCTGTTGTTCCAGGAAGCCCCACCAAAGCATGCCTAAGAGAGTCAAGCTCAACTAGTGCCATCACTTCTTCAACAAATTCCTGAAGAACAAAATAATTTGGAATTGGAAGAGTTAGAATGCAAAAGTATTGAAGGATCCAAAGCTCTATAAACACAAGGCAAGTTACCTCTCTTTGCTTTTTGTCAACCTCCTTTGGAAGACGCAGACCAGAAGAAAACCATAGTGACTCATAAACTGTCACTTGAGGAGAATGTATGTCATTTTGTTCAACGTAACCTGATATTCTTGCAAATGTCTGTTGTTGTTTTGGGTAACCAGAAATCTTAATGTCACCTTCTATGTACCCACCAGTCTTCCTTCCAGCGAGGACATCCATCAATGTGGTTTTACCCGCACCACTGGACCCAACCAATGCTGTCAGAACACCGGGTGAGAACACCCCACTTACTTTTGACAGCAATTGCAATCTTTTTTCCTCAATGCCTTGAGAACTCATCTCCTGAAATCCAGAATAGGCTTTGTTTAGTCACTTGCTTAGTATAATTTAAGAAAGGAGCAAAAACAGTGGTTACCTTTGGCATGTCAACGAAGTAGTTGACACTATGAAATGTCATATTTAATGGTTGAAATGGGAGAATCATTCCTTTTTTCACACCTTGATCCCTTCCGATCATTTCAGTATTTGTGACACTCCCTGCCCAATGAACATTGAAATATTACAGTTGACTACAAGAGTACTTGTACTTCAAGAGTGAATAAGGATCAGACCTGTACCATTATCCGCTTCATTCTCGTCAAGTGCCTCCGGTGGAATTGTTGCTTGAGATTTAATTATAGCTGTACAAAGAGAAACACGAGAAGATTATCTTTCCTTGTCCATATTTCTTCAATAGTTTTAATAAGAGTAACATGCATGAAATGTTCGCTTACGATTTAAGTAAGTCAAAGCAGCCGTCACTACAATGTTGAAAAAGAGAGCATACAGAAACAAAGCGCCAACTCCGATCCAGTACCATCGACCGGCACTGGGTAGAGCATGTGACTGAAGAAGACTGATCCCCAAAGTAGTATTTCCAGAAAATATCTGCAAATCAAAGTTGAAGTTAATTGGACATCAATCTCAATGCAAAACTTATATTTATCATCAAATCTGTACACACCTCCATCCACCTTGTCGCGGTGAACTCATTAACAGAAATGGCGCGTTGTGCATAGGTCAATGGTGACACCCAAAATGCCCACATCCACCACGGTTTGATCAATGCTGTGGGGAGAGGGTGAAATCATTAGGAGATACAATTCATCAAATTTTAGCCATTTGAGTCTTATGAAACATACCTTTTGGGACTATAAATCCACCCAACAAGAATATTACAAGAAGTGCTGCTGATCCGAACGTATTGGCGATAATCATATCTCTTGAAATAGCTGCCATTGAACGGAACAAGCCCAAGGCCATTTGGTGCACTGAAAAAAGCACCAACATGTACCGGAAAAACCTGTGAAATGTTAAAATTGAAGAAAATTATGTCAGCTACATGTACTTAAATCTAAACACTTGAGAAGAAAAGGGCAGTAAAATACCTTCCAGGACCATCTGCGAATCCTACAGTGAAATACACAATGGAAGACCAAACTACAGCTTCAATAACTGAGTAAGGTACTCGCAGAATCCAACTTGAGATAGACCATGCCCATGCAGGATGGAAACAATTGTCTCTTTGTTTGTAAAAAACTGGAAGTCGAAAAATCATAATAGCTAGCTCGGAAAATCCATTGAACATCATATGCACTAAGCCAAAGAATAAGCAAGAAAGATAGAGATTTCCATTTATCAAATCCGTGGGATGTAGTCTTGTTCGCAGAAACATTGTACATGTTACAAATCCTACAAAGGCAACCTGCAGGGTAAGGAATACAACATTTAGAAGTTTAGATTCGTAAAAAACTTATAAGTCTGCTTATGTAAATATGATAAACTATTCAAAATGAGGACCAAAATATGCATGTAAATTTAATGCTCAATGAAGTTCAACTGAATCTAATGGATTTGTAAAAAAAAAAAAGAAGTATTCTCATAGGAAAGATGTAAACCACACCTGACATGTTCTGAAGGCATACAGAAAACTGTGTCTCTTTATTAGAAGCAATTCCCTGGCAAAACAAGCTTTATAGAGATCCCACTGAGATGTTGCGTATTTAGAATTGGACAAGGCAGAGGGATGGCTTTTTGATTTATCGTAGGGAGAAGAAACTGAAGCCATCAAAGATTGACCATGTCTGGAACTTTGAAAGGCTTCTGCAATCTTCAATACTGGGATGAAAACATAAGGTTTGGAGCTGTCTGCCCAATACTGTGCCTGATCCTTTCTTGATGTTACCTAAAAGTACAGAATCCTCCATGTCATCAAATTTTTTATGTGAAAGCATCTGTAAATAACAAAATCTCATAAAGAATGCACCTCTTGGAGAAAATCGGCAACACCCTTGCGAGGTGGTAGTCTAAAACCAAGAGACTCAAAGAAATCCAGCACTTCTGCCCGAGGACCTTGATAAACGATGTATCCTTCAGATAATAGTACCAAATCATCAAATAGGTCAAAAGTCTCAGGCGCTGGCTGGAGAAGAGCCATTAAGATTGTTCCATCCATTAGATGTACGAAATTCCTTAAGCATTTTACAATTTGGTAAGTTGTAGAACTGTCAAGACCGGTCGATATTTCATCCATAAAAAGTGTTTTTCTGGGGCCAACCACCATTTCACCTATAAAAAGAGACGAAATGCGTGAAAGAAAAGATCAGTTTGATGTAGGCTAAAAAGTGATGAAACTCAAAAGGATAGAGAAAAAACCTGTTGTAACTCTCTTTTTCTGACCACCTGAGATCCCCCTCATCATTTCACTACCAACCATTGTATCAGCGCAAACATCAAGACCCAGAATTTTCAAATAGTAATCCGTTGATACATTGTTCCTTTTGCCACGAACAGTTGACGCCTGACAACCACAGTTGCTAAAATGTCATTGTGAGCCCAACATACAAATTCCAGATTGCGGTGTGATAACCAACAATTAATGTGTAAATACTATACCTTCATAAATGCATCAATATCAGGATTCGGACGAATATTTCTCTCCTGTTCTAAACTGTTAAGATCCTTCATATACCCTGCGCATTTTGTATTTTAACATATCAAACATAGAAGATAAGCTAAGAGAAGAATGATCATGCATAATTTTTACATTGACCTTAAAATTTTTTGACTCTGTTTATTTATTACACCCTAAATACTTATGAATTCTATCAATTAGCTAAAGTTCAAACAAGCTAGGGATCAATTTAAATGTAGTTGGGATACCATTACTATATACATCTTTTAGTAGCAGAAACTATGAAGTTAATCACCGATATACTTTTCAGACAGCTGTGCATAATGAAAATCGCCTGATCCTCCTATCATGCCATAAGATCAAAAGGTAGCTCATTGATAAAACAAATAGTAAATTTTCCGTAAGCAAGTGCGTGGAACTTGTATCAGCTTTTGTAATGACTCTTAACAGAATTTCGGCTCTTTTTCTTCCAGAAAAAAATGCTCTTAGGTATTTACACGGCACGGTCAAATACCAAGGTGACCTTTAGTAACTATGCATCAGCAGTTACAAATTTAATTTCTTCACTCATCAAATAGCAATACTGAGAAGCCATACTAAATGTGATGTTACGAAGAAATACCAAAAATCATGAAAATGGTTTACAATGTATTGATGACAAGCCAAAAAAGTGAATTCGGGAGAAATGAGAAGGACAAACCTGCGAAACCTTCACTTGCACCTTGGCATCTAGCTGCAAAATCCAAAGTTTCCCTAACAGTCAACTCCGCGATGTGATTGTCTGTCTGACTAATGTAAGCCGAAGTCCTTTGAACGACAAATTCATCAAGCTCGTGGCCATTATACGAGATAGTCCCACTTTTCTGAAACCAGATTTTACGGCTTATTAATAAGAGAAATGAAACTAAAAACTCTTTTAAAAGCTCAAAGATACAGAATAAGTCCAGAAATCAAATTGCTCTGGTCGTAATTTATTAGACTGATGTTGCGACGGGAATGTGTTTTAGGTACAAAAACGGAAGCCATAAGCTGAAAGTCACTGGGTGACTACATTATAGGATAAACAAGCCCTACAAACTATTATGTCATGTGTTTTGATCCTTCACTCAGAAATTTTCTCTAAATAGGAGAATGAAACATTTCTACGAGTGTTGCCTACTTGATACAGCCCCTTTGCCCGGTACCATGTAAACCAACAAGTTTGCCCAAAAGACACATAGATTTCAAGGAACAGCAGGTAATGGTCAGGCAGGAGCATCAATTTAGACTGAATTGTACACAAGATATAACTAACCTTCAAGCCCTTAGCGGTTTTCCCTGCAAGAGCTTGTAACAAGGTGGATTTCCCAGAACCGGGAGGTCCCAAAAGAAGTGTCAACCTAGTAGGAAAGCAATATTAACAAATACTTAAATTAGACAATTCTATAATTACTTATTATTCATTTCCTTAATCTGTATTACTCCAAGTTATCTACGTGAAAATTGTCTACTAGAATAAATTGCACAAACGCCATAACAAGATCATGCCTGGACCAAACCTTTCCTTAACCTCAATTGGAAATATCATCGAAATACATTCAATGCAATTAGTGAGAAAGTGGATATATATACTTCTAATTAATAATGATTTCCTACGAAAGCATGAACCCTCCATCAGCTATAACGGTGCAAGTGTAACATACATGTAGCTAGAGCTATCCTTTTCTTTCTTTTCCTATTGCCACAGAAAATCAAGCAAGGAAAAAGAAGAAAAAAAAAATTGTTACCTGCCAGGTTTTACAACACCACTGACATTATTCAAAATGGTCAGAGAATGTCTTCTGGGTCGATATAGCCTCAGTTTAGTTAGCAATTGCTGCATCGGATTCAAAGCCATTATGATTGAAAAAATCAGCAAAGTTAAGATATCGAAATGAATATTGAGCTGGTGAAACGATTGAGAATCCTATCCGTCCCAGAAAAATGTCACTTAGTTGAACTAGAACAACTATTTTTCTCGGGCGAAGGTAGTATAAATTTCGTACCTCTAAGACATCTCGACTGTAATTTACTAAGGTTGGCAGGGCTCGGGATCCTACTTGCACATTAGCCGTGATATTCAAATTCTTATACCGAACTTCAACTTTCGGAATTTCAATTCCAACTCTATCAAACACAAAACATTACAGGAAATATTAGTGACTAATTAGGAAAGAATTTTAGTCCCAGGCCGAAAAAAAAAATTCCATAAATCAGAAAAATCAGAACACTGCGAAATGAGAATGAACAATGTGCCTTCCCTAACTTAAGCTGGAATGGCAAGGAATCATCGAATTACAGATCATTTTTGCATGCATGCATGCATTGTGCACGTGCCATTCCAAATAGTACCAAAAAAAGGAAAACCGGAAGTTAAAGATTGTTACCTATCGAGGCGTTCTTTAACGGCAGAGAGAAGTTTAAAATTATCCTGTTCCGACGTAGCCAGAGCTCGCCGGACGACTAATTCCCGTTCGTTACGGTCGAGCTTCCTGACGTCGACGGCCTCCGTCCTCGACTCCTTGCCGTCGGACGAATCGGAAGGCGTCCGCCGCAGCAGCGCGTAATTGGAACGCTTCCGCGTCGGCAACCTCTCGAGAGCCGCCCAAATAAGCTCCTCTTCGTCTTGCTCCAAGAAATCGGCGTTTGAAGGCCTTCCGAAGCTCTCGCGGGAAGTGTCTCCCACAATTACGTCGAAGTATTCACTCCCGTTCGACGCGGCCATTATTATCCTTCCGGTAGATTACAATCTGAAATAATTCCGGCGAGTGGGAATGGAGAAAATCGGAAACCGAACGAGCGGTGCCGGAAGAAAAATTAAAACGGCCGACGAAACAGATTTGTTGACATATATTTATAGAGAGAAATATTACTAACATAAAAAATTGTAGGATTATTAGCATAATAATTATTTAAAATTTATTAACTATAGCAAGAGAATGATGATTATGAAGAGTTGGAATTGGAAACGATGTTTGATCTCACTCTCTCTTCTATGCTGTGTGAGTGTGTGTGAGAGAGAGGTTCGGGTTGTTGAGAAGAGAACGGAACTTCTGTCACGGATTTGTGCCTAAAAGCCACACAAATTTTATTTTTAAAAAAAAAAAAAAAAACACACACACACACACACAAAAATGCATGCTTTTTGAATGCAATTCTAATTTTAATTTAACGGTGTTTTCTCCCTATTTTCCAAAGCCTAAAACAAATTCATTTTCTTCACGTTTTAATTACCGTTTTTATATGTTCGCAATAGTAGTTGGCCTCAAGTTTTTTTCGTTGCCCAAAAAATAATCCAACATTGAGTACAAAACTCAATCTTCATTACATTTTTTTTTTTTTTGTGTGTGTGACATAAGGAGTATTTTAGAGGAATTATTATTTATTTGAGCTATAATTTTGGAGGATTTCTGGTACCGTATTTATTACTCTCTCCGTCCCACAAAAATAATTCACATTGAGTTTTGAATTTTATACTGTTTTAAGTACAAATTTGAAAATTCATTATGGACTATTTTTGTGGGACGGAGGTAGTAATTATTATCTACGTGCCAATTTAATGGAGACACTAAATAATGTTATGGACGGCTGAAATTGTACCTTAATCCATTCTCACACACTCCACACTAGCCTCAATTTAATCGATCAGAATTCACGAGATCTGAAATTTAATTATCGTTCCAAGAAAGAAACAAGAGACGTCAACGCGAATTCCTTGCTTCCCAACATGTTTCATTCATTACAAGTTATTTACGTATACTAGATTGATTAGACGCGTTTCGCGCGTACGCTATGTAAAATTAAGTTACGTAATGTACATTATATGTAAAAAAATATTTTTTTATAATTAAAATAGTAAATTACATTGCTGTCTAATACACTATCTACAAAATATGTTAACAAATTTATTAGTAGTAAGAAAATTATACTTTTATATTGTAAGAACAAAATGATATCACTAAAATGTGTCACTTCTTATTTCAACAGAAGTAACATATAGTAGCTGATTGTGAAAAAAAAAAAATGACAAGCCCGTGAAAAATAAAATAAATCGAGTTTATGTATTACCAGAAAAAAAAAATAATAATTTAAAAAAAAAGGAAAAAAACCAACTAAATTTGAGAAGAAAAAATTCAAGAAAAAAAAGATGGAGATGAGTAATAAAAGATGATAACCTCCGATAGATTTGAGATTGAGAGGTAAAAATAAAGATTCGAAAGAAAAAAAAAAAAAAAGAGAAAGAGACAAGTGATTAAATATTGCTCCCTTTCAAATTATATATATGTAACTTTATGCTACATGACTTTTAATATTCTTTTGAGTTGTGGAACAATTAAAACTACCATTGAAGAACTTATTAAATTCAAAGAGAAAAAAGAGAAGAAGAAAAGACTTAAGGAATTCAAAGAGGTTAGAATAACCGAAAATCACTTTTAGGCCAATCAATTTCACACAATAATGAGAAATTATTTTTGAAATTAATGGTTAGAATCATCATAACCATTTTTAGACGGATCAAATTCACCTAATAATGAGAAATAATTTTTGTAATCTTAAAAATAAAAATTAATGTAAGGGAGATTAAAGGTCATTATATTGTTTGATAATCAAGGACAATTTATTATTATAAAGTTCAATGAGAGACTACAAAATTTACAAATTACATGCAAAAACAATTAACAAAAAATAAATAAGTAGGAAGGACTACCAAACTTCAAAACTTATTCAGCAATTATAATATAGTATGATAAGTCGGGTTTATTACGAAGCTCACTCCATGTATAAACATCTCTGTGAATACGTCACTGATGACTTATCCTTGATGCCCATTTTGAATTTGGAACATGTATTTTCTGTGAATACGTAGGAGGATTACATAATTACTATTAGTTAGCTGCCCAGTAGACATGAATTCCCATTTCAGGTATTTCGTGTCTAAACAAAAAAGCTTAAGGAAAACTTTTATGATTTTCTTTTGTTTTTATTTATTTATGACCGCGCAACTTTCCTATGGATTGTTTAAGATACTCTTTGACTGTCAACAGCTTACCGGAGTATTCGGTATTGTAGCACTTTCAAAAGTTTTGAGATGGATTTTCTGTCACGAATTTATTGCTCCCTCCACCCAATTTGATTCTCCATCAACTATGAAAATGGGGCAACGGATAGAATGTTTTATTAGTCCAAATCTATTGAACCAATTTCCATAAAAATGTTGGTATAAATAAAGAAAAAAGAAGAGGAATTGGTGTCACAAAATTAAGGAGAGGAACTACGACGACATTGTCATTCAATTTGACCGTCGAGCACTACGTGTTTACTGCCACTCTAGTCACTCCTCAACAGATCCTCTATATAGTTTGATAGCTAGTACGGTTGTCGATTCTGTGGTTGTAAGCTCGTGAGTTACTAATATACACTTGTCGTGTGATTTTTCGAGATTTGATTTTTTATTTTTATTTTTTTTTGAAAAGAAAGGAAATTCAATTTAACATCCTTAGTTAAATGGTTCATGAAAAGTGGCCCGGTCGGCTCTCCCTAACGGCCTAACCTCCTCCCCATATATATTATTAGCAACATTGTAGGATCATACGTATGTATATACCATGATTTACAATTTGATTACCCAATATTACCTAAAGAGGTATTACCTAGGAGAAGAATCAACAAAAGCTATCACCGCCAAGCACCTATTTCATCAATTACTAATAGCACTACTTTTGCGAATAATGCCAAAATCTTTTAGTGTCGGGTAGAAATTTTTTTTTTTAAAAAAAACAATAGCCCTAATTATAGGAATTCGTCTTCTTAGTGTCGGTCGAAAATCGAAAAACAATAGCCCTAATAATAGGAATTTCTTGCTAACACGTCCTCTGTTACAATAAACTTTAGGACGGATGAACAAAACTATTCAGAATATAATAGGTATAAGACAAGTGTTATTCAGTGCCAATGCCAAACAAACTGTTATCTGCTCCATTTTTGGAACACTGCCTAAACATCAACCAAGTGGTTCCACATGTCAAAGTCTTTGATTACTAGCATCTTGATTGTTAGTATTCTACTAATTAGGTAAAATTAGTTTGACATGCGATAAACCTTTGCTATTATTGGGTCCAATTATCTGAGTGAAATTAGTGCTTGAAGCAAACAGTCTAAAAACATTCTTCGAAATGAAAATGAAGTTAAACACATTGGAAACAACACAGGTCAACTCGCTGCTTCCCCATTCCTGGTCGATATCGGGAAAATGGTAGGAAGAATGCAAAATTTTCCAGACTGCCAAGCTACGATATAGTACTAGTACAGACCTCAAACTCTCCCCAAATAAACATGGGTAAAAATATTTTTGCATATTGTTCTGTGCTCGTCTTAATTCCTATGAAACACAAGACCAACTTCCAAAGCAGTCGCTCCGGAAAAACACGCAAAAACTGAGGACATAATTACAGCTCTAAAAATCATACACTGATTTCAATTTGAAGGACACATTATAAACTTACAAAATACGCCCAACAAACACAACTTATGTACACTCCTCAAGAAGAAAGACTGGGGAAGAGAAGAAATAGAACGACAAAAAGATGCTACAGGTTACACTTCACTAGAAAGAAATGCAGCAGGGGATGAACTGTAACCTATCTCGGACCAAAAAAAACATCACCGGTTGCCTGTTTTTATGCATTGCAAAAGCCAATATAAAACTTTCCTTTTAGAGCTTGTCCACCAGCTAGTGTTTCTTTGATGATTTAGATTTATATGATTCCTGTTTGATGACAAGCTGAGGGGATCCCAGATATGGTTTTTTCGACTTACTTTGCTTACCCTTTTTACTAAAACCATCATCGTCAGAATCGCTATCATCTCCAAACTTCTTTTTAGTTTTTTTATCAGCCTTTCCACAAAGAATAATTTTCTTCTCATCTGCAGGCTTCTGAACCTCAGACTTCTCTTTTGGAGTCCAGATAAATAAAGACCTGTCCAATAACAAATGTTAAATGCAATATTCCTCGAAAACAAAAAGAGGGCTGACGTTGGCTCAGAAACCTTGTCGATCATCCACGAACTACTCTCCAACTAAAGTTATTTGGAAATTTTATGGGGAAGAATATTGATGAAGACAAGAACATACGCATCAACTTCACATATCATGGACACTATTATGAACAAAAAAATAGAAAAATTTATCAATGAGTTTATGGATTCTAACCTTGAACTACCAGAGGCCAAAACATCATCATGCGGATGTAACTTGTTCACAGGACTGATAGTAGTGATGTTTGGATCCATGATTTCAGCCACTAACTGTCCCGTGGTTATGTCTATAAAATCAATTGGATGCAGAGCAGCTCCATTATAATTTTCACTAATATATCGCCCAACAACAACAAGAGACTCTGATGGATCCTGCATCAAGTGTTTATAATCAAAACTTGCCTTTTGCTAATGCTTTCGAGGATTCATTCTCAAGTAATTATTAAGAAGAAACAAAAAAATGCAATGACAAGGGTAGCTAACCTTTGGGTCCCATTCAGCCCGAAAGGGGGTGAGATGCCTATTAAAATCATGACTATGCACAATTTCTCGACTAGGAGTATCAAGGGTACCAAAGATCGAATCCCACACACGAAGCCTGTTATCCTGCGCTGTTGTAAGTATCTTGCTGCCACTAACTGGTGAAAAATATGCTGAATTGACGACTCTTTTGTGGGCAAGATCATAAAGAGAAGATCCAGTTTCCATCCGACGCATGTCCCATAAACGAGCCTGAAAGACTAGTGTTTGTCAATAAAAAGTAACAAACAGAAGAGCTGTAGAATCAACAAGAATTTGTATCAAACTCAGGAGATAACATAAAAACATTACACTACACGTGAAAGAGACGGTGAGGTAAAGGAAAAGAAAATTACAAAGTGATCGTTTCCACAACTCAAAAGAAGATCGGGTTGAATAGGATTGCAATGGAGACCAACAACTTTGCTTCCTTTCTTATGAATCAGAATAGGTTCCCCTGTACGATTGTTGGAGCGCATATCAATCCTGAAACATGTTACCAAAATCACCAATGCATTTTGGTATTAGTTTAACAGTGACGATAACTTCGGACACAAAAATAATGTCGACGCAACTAGCAGATTTCCTCTATATGGGCATGTACTTTTTCACGTAAACATAAGCAATCCACAGCACATACTTCCAAGATTACATCAATTTTCGCTTCGTATTTTGACATTTTCAAACAACTGGAGGACACATCCACATTCCAAAGAGGAGAAAATCAACAAACTAGTTAAAAATTGTTTTGCACTATCAAGCATCTGAGCCTGTAATCAGAGATAGGAGTACCAAACAAAACAGACAATGGCATTGATACATACATATAGAGATATCCAAAGTTATCCGCCACTAGGACAACTCCTTTCTCTGAGTTTATATCCAGGCCATAGAGCATCTTCCAAGAGCTTGGACCCTAAAACAATACATAAAATTCAAAAAGAGGGTTTTATGAGACCACATAGAAAGAAAGAGAAACCTTATAAAAAATCACACACATTTAGCTTACTGCAACAAAGGTGGTCTCTACAAATAATGGAATGATCTAGTTACAAACAGTGCAAAAATAAAATCAATCCCATTTCAGCTGAGATGCAACATCCACTGACAATCATCAATCAAACCGAAGTGTGCATAGTAAACCGTTGAAGGAAAGTTTTAAGCGCCTATCACAACGTTCTTTGGGTGCATATAAAATCAGAGTGATAACAGCCAAGAAAAATAACAGCGAAGAACGAGATTCCACAAGCTTAGGAACTCACAAACACGTGACGAACACACAAAAAGCAAGGGTAGACCAAATCCCCTTAAAAATTTTACAAACAGGATGTGACTTTCGAGTTTCAACAAATATTAAAGTCCAGGCTGTCTAACTACATGTGAGGAAAAGAACTAAAGATATATTCAACGTCATGCCATGCTAGACAACCATTTTAGGATCATAGATCCATAGTACTACCTGCCACCCATTAGGATTGAGGTTCATCAATGAAAATGATAACCCAGTCTCCAGATCAGTGCAACCAGCTGTTCCATCAGAAGATCCAGAATACACAGTGCCATCATTTCTTGGATTAAATCTATATATGTATGACATTATATCAGATATTTCAATCTCATAGTTAACTTTCACGCTAGAACGAATATTCGTTCGAGCAGTTCAAAATGGAACAAAGTAATAAGGAAATGGAGAAGAAGCTGACTCACTTCATGTTGTTAAGTATGCAGCCATGAATGTTACTGTAGACAGTTTTCTCATGAACTTTACCGAAATCCCAGACTCCAAGTTGTCCTTTCTTCAAGGTAAAACATAATGAAAGCCGATATCAACAGACAGTGACTTCTAAAAATGTCATAAGTAGTCATTGGGCAAACAAATCACAACTACCGATCATCTACAAACCTTATCACCGGAAAGGAGAATGTTATTGTTGGTAGGATGGAACTCCAAACATGTTACTCGTCTGCTATGATACCTTATTACTGCACAACTCACTTGATCGGGAATAATGAATTCTGGTTTCATCTATCAGCAAAACCATACCAACAAAATAGACAACTAAAATGTCAGGAAAAATAATATGTAGGAAAAGATCGATTAACTAAACCACAATGACAATAGTGTATGAAGTTCACTACACAAAAACAAGAATTTGGAAACAAGACAGGAAGATAAGAGCAATCATGATATTCGATAGCATGACTTCCCTAATATTCAGACACTCGCGAAGTCAAGCTTTAGTTGAAAAGCAAAAGCTCAACATGTAGTAACATTAAAACCATTTTGATTTCAAGTAAGGTACGAATTAATAAAATATTATATTAACCGCGATACAAAATATTTAAAGTAGGATCAACTGTTTGTTAGCTACGTAGCAACAAATAAATAATGTCCTCAATCGGGGGGAGAGACAGAGAAAGCTTACTTTTGGAATACGAGGCCTAAGCTGCCGTTCAAAAACATAATCCAGAGAGTTGTGTGTGTTTCTCCTAGGCGCAGGGACAACTCCAAATTCAGTGGCAACTCTATGAGGACAAGTCATTGTTGTGTGTCCTATAGCCCAAGATAAAGGTAACATATAAGAAAACTAAACAAAAATATGTGAAAAATGGACACAATATCAAAACCATTAAAGGAAGGAACACAATGCCGTTAACTTAAACTGTATAACTAGCTCACAGAAAGTTGAAATCCTTCAACAGAAACCCCTTTTTCCAATGGTGGCACAATTTTGCGGAATCAAAAATAAAAGTTCCATATGGTTCTTCCTTGTCGAATAGTCACACAGGAATCGACGTGAATACTCACAAACAAACCGAAAAAAACTCACAAAAAGACGAAACCTTACCAGGCATTTTGCAGAGGAAACAAGGCTTCATGGGACAGTCAATATAAGTAGCGCCTTTAAACCCTGCTTCATGGCCAGTTTTCTTGCACACCTGCTCAATAAACACAAAATTACGATTCATTAACCCCAAATCAGAGAAAAAAGAAACACGAAACGGAACAAAAACCAAACTAAAATCTCAATTTAGGAAAAAAGGCAGAGAAGTTATGGTTTTGAAAGAAGCTTTTTACCTTGCACACTTTCTTCAGACTAAGAGTAATAGGCTTCTTCTTCATCGCTAACTTCTCTTCCTCCTCTTCTTCTACTTCGCCGTATTTAGGTTCAACAACTTCCTCCTCCTCCTCTTCTTCTACCACGATATCGCCTCCTTCGTCGTCCGACGAACTCTCCTCGGAGTCCGTGTCTCTCTCGATCACGACTTTCGGGAATGACATTCTCCTTGTTTGTGCAGGCATTTCGGAGGACAGTGGAAAATCTGCAGAGCGAAATCGGGACGGTGTTCCGAGCACCGGAGACCTTTTTTCAGTGGCGACGGTTGGAAAAACCCCCAAAAATCAAAACAGAGAAGAGAAGACTAACGGCCGACTTTGTGGGAAATGGCGTACACCAAAGAGCACGCTTGGGATGAATTGTCGGTGGTATCCCAGTAGTTCCACTACAGAAGGGTTAAGGAACTAGGGGTATTCTCGACTTTGCATTCTCAAGAAAGGCGGGAGATTACGTGGCCAGACATTAGCCCCTCGTGTGCTGAAGGGTGTACTGTGAACATTACGTAGTAGTAACATAGGAAGAGGAGTAATAATATTAAAAATAATAAAATTACATAATTTCCGGAAGATTTTTTTCTTTCTTAACTTAAAAATTTTTCGTTAAATTAATGATTAACATAATCTCTCCTAAAACTCTGTATGTTTCTATATTTTTTAAAAATGTACATCACGAATGTTTGTTTATTTATTTTTGAATTTTTTTTTTTGTTTATTTCAGGAAAAGTGAAAAACTAAAATAAAAGTAGTGTGGATTGGTTTATAATAAATATTTTATCTGTTTTAAAAATACTAATTTATTGTTGATGAAAAGGGTACATTGTTTTGATAGGATGATAGTCACGTCATGGAATCCTAACAGGTTTCAACTTTACAGAGTATTCACGTCAGGATTCACATAGAACTACTTTATACCTTCTAAAGTAAACTTATTGTGGTTTACCAGAATCCTAACAGGTTTGTTCATACATTTTCTGGTAATCTCAGGGCTTCAGGTGGCATTGTTGCAGAGAAAACTCCAACCTGGACTTTTGTTGGAAGAAACTAGAAGATATTATAGATCTGGTGCAACAACAGGGAAAAACAGAATGCGAATATTAGAACTATTCCAGTATACCTTGGATGATCATTTTTCCGATTCAGTCAATTTCAATATATAAAGGTTACAGAGACACGATAATTATACTGTATGACAAATAGACATGAGCAACGAATAAGATTCCTGAATACATATGTGCCAAGACAATGGTCATGAAAAGCTCAGTTTGCTCATGATAAGTAGTATACCATAATTTGCTAGCTATTACATAATACCACAGTCAACCCTTCTGAATATTAGTTTGTATATACAGTATTACAGATACCATAAGAATTTTTATAATAATGAAGACCAAGTTAAGATTTTTTGTGCAGACTTTCCTGAAAAAATTAAGCGATGTTTTAGATGTATATTTGTGTTATGGGTGATCGAGTGATCGAGATTCCACATTGGAGATGACAAAGTTGCTGGATTCTTAGCTGTTAAAAAGACATGAAAGAATATATTCGTTGGCACTACAGTATTATTAGATTGCCAATGAATCTACTATGCTCATTAACATATTGAAATATTACAGATAGTCGCATATTCAAAATAATTATGGTTTACCATAATAAGATTGAGTATACAATCAGTTTTGTAGACAAGCTTCCTATTATCATGGTCACACACACACAAAAAGGTAAATTGACAAACCAAAAGTTTTCTAAATCGAACGCCAAAAGCTTAAAATCTAACAAAAGCTTGTCTTCCTATTATCATGGTGCTGAACTTATTAGTTGAGTATAAAAATGATGTACATTGTAGCATTCACCCTAAGGGAGGGCAAGAGCTTCTTTCAACAGTTTGTACATTTCCTTCCAGAATAGGGAAGAAGAAGAAGAAGCTGATGAAGACATTCCAAAGGGTGTTTGGGGATACGGGGGTTTATAGGGATTAAAAAAGGATTGATATGCATGAATCAAATGTTATAATAGTTTGGGGGATATGTGAGTTTATATATAGGAGTAAGGGTGCTGAAGTTAAGTTTGAGAAATAAAAATTGATGAATGCTCTGAGTATTGTCTATTGAAACAGTTCATAAATAAATCAAACTGTACCTTGTACACACTACATTAGCCTACACAGTCTAGCACCTCTCACACCTTCAAATGTGGACAATACACCTCTCACACCTTTGTATTTATTATTACCCATCGGAACAAATGAGTACCAATAAGAGACGGTGCAATTAACTTTCAAAAAAGAGCCTTATTGCCCATTGGAACAAAGGAATAGGTACCAACAATAGATGGTGTCAGATTCCAATTAAAAAAGGAGGCTTGATGATTTTAATCGGAGAACAATGAGAAATAATGAGCAATAATCAGAAGTCACATCCACAGGCCACAGTCCTCACAAAGGGCACTCGTATTTCAATTGCAAGCCTACACAGTCTAGCTTTAAACCGAAGGGTAGTGCCTGCATTAGAGCTCGTGAATGAACAGAATCCTCCCTTATAAGGGAGCTTCACTGAATTTCTTGACTTCCTTTCGGAAAATGATGTCATTGAACGGAGGTATATAGATACTCTGAAAATTAATCTATGAAGACAACCCTCCACCCGCATTTCAGTTGAATGGGGGTATTGCCACACGAAAAAATGAGAAAGAAGAACAATAAACTGTTTAATGACGCTGTAGGAGGGGATGCTTCTGCAATAATGTTTTTCATATAATCCCTGGAGCATTCACTTTATTCATCAATAACATCTCAAATAATTATTATAAAATGTTAAATCCTTGCATTGATAAGTATAAACATATTTTTTATAAATTATATTATGCCATGTAGTCTCTCTAGTGTAAATATATGTTTTCATTTATGTGCATGTTTTTAATGGTTGCTTCGTTTTGGAGGGGGGTGGTTTGAGCTTTTAACTTGAAAAATTTAGGGTTAGTTATTGGGGATTTTCACTTATTACACTGGAAAACTTAGACTATGTTTGGATGGTTTTTTGAGTGTATTTTTTTGTATTAGGAATGTAAAAAGGTATATTGGAAATGTAAAAAAGTGTATTGAGAAAGTAGAAAGGTATGCTGGGATGAGATAGATATTAATTAAAAATTCTGAAAAAATGAATGAAAAAACGAACCAAACAGTACACTGAATTTGTGAAATTTCGTTTTTGCCCCTAATAAGTGACTTAATATTGGTTATTGGATCGTACCCATCCGACGGACGAGATTGCTTTGAAGGTGGCCCTGAATATTTCTTGGGCATTTAATTTCTTGCGTACTATGCTTTTATATTAAGTATAGTATATATAAGGATGAATTAATTGAAACAAATTGGAAAGGAGTATATTGGTATATCATCAACGTAAAAACCTCTCTAAAAATTCAGGAGTTTAAGTTGAAACAAATGACAACATAATTCGTCAAAAAATTAAAAAAAATGTCGGCATGTTTTTACCCAAGAAATTGTCCTTAACGGACTAATTTAGCATATAGGAATAATTTAATTAGCATATGGGAATTAATGTCGACATGTCAATAAGTGATTTTTTTTTTTTACTTATGCGAAATTGATGAATGATTAGGGAGTTTGAACGGTTAGAAATATTTTACATTGACTTCATTATGATATTGATAATTGAGGTTGAATATATTCCTAGTGCTGTTTCTCAAGAAAAAAAAAAAAGAGAAAAACAATTACAGTTCATTTTAAATGGAACAGAAGTTCCAAACAGCTTATTAAAAGTGATGAATATACTTCTTCTAAAAAAAAAAAGTGATGAATAGTAGCCTGTCATGTAAAACCAACCAAACATGATGGAGTCTTAAAAACAATTGGGGGTAAGCTATACTTCAATTACTAATTTTATACAACTTGAGTAATATTCAATCCATGCATGACAGATGTCATGTGTCTTGCTTGCCTAACGTAAATTCAAATTTCTTTCATCTTTAACTGTGATTTTCATCATTTTTTAAAAGACTAAGGCTCTGTTTGTTTGATTTTTTACATGGTTTTTTCAGATTATTTTAATAATAATTATTTTATCTCAACATATTTTTTTATGTTTTTAATACATATTTTTATATTTGTAATATAAAAAATTTCAAAAAACATACACTAAAAAACAAATCAAACAAACATATCTTAAAAAGCAATCAGAAAGATGGTGACCATTAAGGATGATTGCGTGCGGGATTTATTTGGAGCTAAACTGGAGGCGGCCTTTCAAGATTCTGCAGCATTGATGTTACAAAACAAGTCATATTATACTCATCAATGTTGTGTGAAGGGGGGAATGGAGAATCATAAACATAAATTTTACTATTTTTTTTTTTTTAAAAAAACAACAGAGTCAACGTAATTGTTCAAAGCAATTTGTTAAGTGTTTGATGCGACATTTATTCCTTGATAACTAACGCTAAATGTGATTATATCAAATGTACCTGAATAATTCGATGGGCTGGTTTTCAAAAGGCAAAACCTAGGCTGCTTCTTCTTCTTCTTCTTGTACTATTCATAAACTTCTTAAAGGGCGAAGGCAACATGAAGATATTTTAATGCATACCTAAACCTTAATTAATTTATTGATTCTGATGATGTGTGCATGACATTATATTAGCTATCTTAACCCATAGCGTGTGACTATGGCGACTAGGCAGTAATTAAGAAAGTTAAACATTCACCCGTTGTACGATCGACATATTTTCAGCACCAATAAGAAGAAATTACTTACTTGCTGTAATGAGAGTAAAATTATACTACTTCTGTCCTAACAATATAATCCACATAAAATTTTCATATTTATATTGCTTTTAATACAAATTTTTAAAGTCAACGTGTTTTCTCAGAATTGAGAATATATTTTTTTTCCAATCAAAATGAAAACAAAACATCAGACCGACCGTTTGTTGCAATAATAAGGTCTAAAGTCACTCAAACTCGATAGTACTATAACATCAATGTTTATAGAAGTTTAATTTTTTTTAAAAAAAAAGAGGTGTGTTAAAGGCTGTCAGGAAAAAGATAAAGACTGTCGTAAAAAGATAATTTTGTCCTTTTCATTTGGATATAGACCGCATGGTAAAAGATATAGACCGCCGTAAAAAATACCATTCCACCTTTTTCATTTTTTTCAGTCCAAAATGAGTGATTCAGAGATAAAGAAAAAAAATAATTAGACTAATAGAATTTAAGACCGAAATAGGCCGAACCGGCAGATATGTCACGGACAGTTTTCTTCACCACGAATTCGGGTGGTTTGATGCGAAACGGGCTATTTTCGTAGACGGACATGGGACGGAACGGTCTAGAGCCTTGTGGAATTCTCCAGTCAAATCTTGAA